TAACTACTCCCTGCTGAATTATTCACATTATCTCTTGTAACGGCCTATTTTTTCTTTGAAGTGTCCTCCTCCATACTGTAGTCAGCACAGATCCTGCTTGGCTCGTGTGAGATCATCACTCACTATGTCATGGTTGTAGGCAAAAAGAGCGACGTGTCAGCGAGGCACTTTCTGGTTTTGCTCTAGGCTTCCTTTGGAAGGAAGACTGAAAAGCTGAATTCCAAATATATGAGCAGATTCTGAAAAGAGCCTGATTTAAGCCCATCTTTTCAAAATTTAGCTTTAAAAGTAATCATTTTTGCTAGTGTTCAGCACTGTGACTGTGGCCATCGATAGATAAGCGATAGCAGCAGGAGGCAGCCCTCTTGTGTCCAGATAATGTAAGACACAGACCTGGCTGGAGCTGTGCTCTCCTCAAACAGAGACCAGCAGAGCGTGGAAGGGTACGGAAGAGCCATTACCCTGAATTCAGAAGGGAACTGCATTTCAATGAGTGGCATCCTTTTATGGCTCTTTAGGGGAAACTGGGGAGAGGAACTGATTATACCATTCTGGAGAGAACAGCTTGCGATACAAGATATATTGCTGTGGGTCTCTCCCGACAAGTTTCAAAGAGGGTGTTAGTTCTGGAAGCCCAAGATACTGACCTCTGTAGGGTAACTAATGCCACTGGCCTGGGCTTTAAATGGCTTTGGAGTACGCTGAGATGAACCCAGTTTACTCATTTTAAGTGAATAGAAACCTGGAGTTTTACCATGTTTCCTGGAAGTTTGTAACAGTCTACTTGGGAAATTCTGTTAAGTCCCCAAAGGTCACTATGAAAAGAAAATACTCTTCTAGCAAAGTAGGACTTCCAAGTAGATAGGCGTTTAGGCTGTTGTTCTTGGCCTAGATTCCCAAAGGAATGGGCAAAGGAATTACACATGGCTGGCATTATATGTTGTCATGCCTGCATTCAGGCACTTGGCTCCCACAGTGCAAACTCTTTCAGGCAGCAATTCCTTGTGCAAGACACCTAGGAATGTGGAGTGCAAGGGCAGAATTCAGTAGAAATACTGATTTGCCTCTCTCTCAGATTTATGTGTGGCTGTGGTTCACTACTGAAAGTCCTTTGTCTCCTAAATTCCTAAAAAATGGAGCACAGAACCTTGCTACAGTGTTCGTTTGTTATATAATAAAATAATCATCACAGCTGTTGCCCAAGATGGGGAGATATTGGCCTGAGTGGCTTCATCTCCATTTCTATCATAGACCATCTTAACTATTTCTTCCTGCCCTAGAAGGGAAGAAACCTTTTCCCATGATCTTGACAGATGGGATATTTCATTAAAGTGGCCAAGCTATTGTCTTGAGCTAGAACTAATGTCTGTGATACAAAGGGTTAAGAGTCCATATAATTCTCCCTTGATGGAATTTTTACTTTGTGCTGTGCAGATTAACAGACAAATGAAGGGTAGCTTTCCTAAATTGCTACTGTTAATATTTGCTCCATTAAGTCTTTTGCACATAGTGCCACCTAATTGCAATATCTAGTCATAGAACCTGAGCATGATGTGACCTCATGGAAGACAAAAATCCAGCATTCTGTAATTAAAACTTTATGCCTTACACACAAGCTTGAAAACCCAAGAAAATATTAACATTGGATTTGGCATAAACTGGCAAATACTTTTTGGCATTATTTCTTCTTCTATGCAGCTATCTTGTATATAATTTTTAACCAGAAAGACTTCGTGCTGGCTAGGAAACAGAGCACGTTCCCCTTCCCTGTAATAATCAGCAGACATAGGCCACCAGCTTGCTACATTTTAAAAATGCAGGGCAGCCCAGCATATGGTGTTAAGGAACTTCCCATGCCGCAGGGGTTTGGAAAGGCTAGCATATGAAATCTAACTCATTTATATTTGGGCTGTGTAGGAGGCACAAGCTTCCAGTCATAGCTCCCAGCTGTAAAACGCGTGTGAGCCTTAGCATGGTGCAGCACTCTAATCCGCTGCAGTGCCTTTCCTGCCTCAAAGCACTTTGCTTAAAGTCTCGTGGTCTATTCATATTTTCTCTTTTGTGTGTGTGTGGCAGGACCCGAGTGCCATGCCGAGACCAACTTCCCAGGACCTAGCAGGATTCTGGGACTTATTGCAGCTCTCGATTGAAGACGTCAGCATGAAGTTCGATGAACTGCACCAGTTGAAACTCAATGAATGGAAAATAATAGAATCACCTGAAAGGAAGGTAAGCAGACCATGGACAGTACCATTTGCTTTCCATTTGTAGTTCTGTAGTCTCCCTGTGTTAAATCCAGTAGTAAAACATGATAGGCTTCCAGCCCTAAGACAGAAAAAAATAAAGGGCAATGTGCCATCAGATGTAACAAATGCAATGGACTTTGCTAAGTCCTGTCAATGTGCTCCCTAAGCACTTTTCCTTCAAATTAATTTGAATTCAAATAATAAAGGCCAGAATTGAAATCTGTTCCGATTAATTCAGATTGAGGAGAATAACCTGATAATTCAACTACAGTTCACTCCAGCCTGCTGCCACTTTTGGGGCAGTTTAAAGCTGGACACTAAGTCTTTAATCCTGCCTGCAAGAAATAGCTGGTATTAGAGCAGGAGTAAAATAAAAACATGTGACAAAACATTGGGTAGCTCAAAAAATAAGCTTGGCCTGTGAAAGTTTGTTGGACAAGGGATACTTCTGGCAGGCACCCTTCTGCCTGAACCCTGCCTTCACCTCTGCACTGCAGCTGCACAGGCCAGGCCATGACACTTGAAACACAGGTGGAAAATTGTCCACAAATCAGTGTAATTCTGTAAGTGTCCTTCCCCTAGAGCTGTGTTCCTCCCTTAATTATCACACTGCCCTTGCTGATTATTGTATCAGTAAAATGAAGACAGCATTTGTTTTGAGTCAGTAGTGTTGGTCTCGAGTGGATACTTGTCTGTTTTGGGAGGAATTAGGAGGCAACTTGACAACTCTTTCATTCCTGCATGCTCCTTTCGGATTTTAATTTTCAGCCACTGGTTGGCAAGTGGTGACTTTGGAGCTCTTGCTGACTGGTGACAACTGGAAATAAGAAATTATTACAATGACAGGAACAGTGATGCTCCCCAGAGAAAAATAAAGAAAAGTTGAAAGATAGGAGAGGAGGGATGGGGAAAAGGGAATAGAACCATTATGTTCTTGGCTGAAAATAGCAAATAGGAAATATTGACAGGAAGAGCAAACTCTCATGGAGTGAAATGTATCTCATCTTAGCCTGCTGTGCTCTTACCATTAAGTCAAGGGTGTAGAACTGTGTTGTCATATACCTTTTTATTCTAGTCTTTGCTAAACTATTTTGCTAGTAGATTCAGAATTACTTTCAAAACAAAAACCCAAGACAATAAAAATTCTACAAGCCGTAGGCCCTTCAGTATTATTTTTTATCATCTATAACCTCTAGTGGGTCTGATTAATTGCATTCTCCAAAACTAGCACCCCATAACCTTCCCTATTTCTGTCATTTAGAATGTCCACTTGCAGAAAGTAATGTGCTAGTAAACATGAAGTTGTGGAATCCTCATCTTTGGAGATAGCTCAGTCAAATATTAAATATGACTTCAAACAACCTGCTTTAACTTCAAATTTGGACCTGATTTCAAGGAAGGTTGTATAAGATCATCTCTGGAGGTCCTTTCCATGCTAAATTACTGCATAATTCTATGATCCTAAAAATCTTCCTAAGGTCCTTATATGATATTTCACTATTTCTGAGTTGGAGAAAATGGAGGAAAATACTAATTTTTTATTTCAGAACAATTCTCAATTTAAAACTTGCAGAAGTTATTTATAGCTTGTTTGGCACTGTAACATATTGGCTCTTACCTTATAGTCTGATAGTTCTTCAATATGATTTTCTTAAATATAGTCTAGGCTTGCAAGTTCTTAGCCCCATTTCTTCCTCCTGGAGGTGTTTGCACGTTTCCGTTTAGCAATTCAGAGAGGAAACTAAACTAATAGGCAAGTTCCTAGCCCCATGTTTTCCTCTTGGTTGGTGTTTGCGTGTTTCCATTTAGCAATTCAGAGAGGAAGCTAAACTAATAGACAAGTATACACAGCTGCTATCTCATATCCAGCTGAGACTAAATTCAGTATGATTAATTTAATTAAAAATCCTGTCCTACTAATCTTAGACAGTCTTTTCACTTGATCAGACCACACAGATGCACTGAGACCTTATTGGCAAGTCAGTGTGCATTTCTGTTCTTAATGAATGTAATAATGTGTCAGCTTCTATTAAATGGATTCACATAAAAATGAGGTACGCAGACTGCATGTGTAGGATATCTGCAAAGAGAGTAAAGGGGAGTCTTTGTAAAGCACAGGGCTACAGAAACACAGTCCACTTGAATTTGCAATGACTGCTGAAATAACAAGTTTTCAGCAGTGTCCCTAGAATGGAAAGTGACTCATATACTCCATTAATCAGCTGATTTTAGAGTGCAAGTGGAACATGCCTGATGTAACTAGTGTTTTTCACGTCTCTAATTTGCACATTCTGCAGATGGTATTTTCCACGCGCAGTTCACTTCTCAATTTCAATGCCCTGTTGCAGGAAGAAAGAAAGGTTCCTCCTCCTGTACCAAAGAAGCCCCCAAAAGGAAAATTCCCTATCACAAGAGAAAAATCTCTGGACCTACCCGACAGACAGCGACAAGAGGCTAGAAGACGGCTCATGGCTGCTAAGAGAGCAGCCTCTTTCCGGCAGAATTCAGCCACAGAGCGTGCAGACAGCATTGAGATCTATATCCCAGAGGCTCAAACCCGGCTTTAAAGACAGAATGCTGCAGAGTTTCTTTTTTAAACAAAATGCTTGTACAGTTTGTCACTTACCTGGTAATTTTTGTCTCATTCTCTCCACTAAATATGCCCTCGCTGTTGTGTTCTTTGTGCCATAAGCACAGTGGAATGCTTTTGATTTCCTCAGAATTTGCTGAGCTCACTGCAAGAACAACTTCTTTTGTATTTATTGTCTGACTTACAATCAGCTACAATGGATAGGGCTTGTTGAGACCTGACTTATCCAATATATTCTCAGAGGACAACAAGAAACACCTCTTGAGATGGAACCCAGCTTACTTTTTTGTTATTTATATTTTTATAAAATGTGTGATAATTAGGGATAAGAATAACAAACTATAAATGGGTGCATCTCACCATTCACTAGAGGCATTAGCTAATCCAAGTAGAAGGTGCTACAAATGTAAAGAGCAGGAAAGAAAGAACCCATTTATCTCTCTGACCTCCAGTTTGTTTTCCTTGAATCCAGCTAAAATATTTGCCCATGTGCTCTGCCACTCTACTCGTCTTTGTTACTGCAAAATAACATTAGGCCTCTCATGTCATGTCAAGTTTCTGGAGATGAACAGGGATATCCAGCCACTAAAACTCCAAAGTTCGTGAGAAACCAAGAAGCGTGCAAGCCTGGTGATGTTGGGAATGCCCAGTGAGAAACGTTTGCTGCTAGCAGTAGAACGACCTTCTGAAACCTAAGCAAAATGATGATGCAAGAAGACTTGAGTGATGGGTGAAAGGAAAATGGAAGCCTTAAAAGTTAGATCTTCTGTAGCAAGATGTGTAAAGAAAAAGTTATACTTACTCCTTCGGAACATTCATTGCATTTTTAACAGTTATTTTATGTGTTAACATTTATTTTATAAACCTCTCTTTTATTTCAAGAGCTGCGCTACATGTAATATTTCAAACTCTTCAAAATGTTATATCAATTGAGTTTCCAGGGTATCCTTGAGAAAAAAAAAAATCTTGCTTGTTTAAAATGCCAGTTGTGATGTTGTAACCAGTTTAAGAAATATGAATGTGAGTGGTAAGTATATCTAAGTTTAAATGGTTATGTTAAGGTAAAGGTGAACTGTGGTTTACAGTTGTATTTTTTTTAGAACTATTTTTCTATGCAGGATCAGTTATAGCAAGAATAACCTTCTTGCTTGCTTCAGACATTAAAAAAAAAAGAAAAAAGAAAAAAAAAACACACCTGAATCAAGAAATAAGTGATTTCCAGACATGGAATATAAGGAAAATAATGTATTTTCAAGCCTCTCATTATCAGAAGAGAAAAGTGGTAATTACCACAGTCAAGAGGCTTTAATTTAAAATAAATTAAGATAGAATTATTCCACTTCACCTACCTTCCAGAGGCAACTGAGCATCCCTGCACTTAGAAGTCTTCAGGTGAAGACGCAATAAGTAACTCACAGACCCCAATTCCAAGGTTGTGAATACTCCTTTAGGTTAAAACCATGTCAACACAGTGAGATAGACAGTCCCAACTGATGTATTTCCTGTTTACCTGCTTTAACAAATGCAATGTACTTAGCCATAGGCAGAACAGCTATTTAATTATACTCTAGCACTTTGGTTCTTCACCTGACGAGCACTTTAAATCTGTGTCCCATGCATCCTGCAGCCTGACAGATGAGTGAAAATATGAGGTATCATAGGTTATGCAGATCTGACATTACTTCAAATCTGAGGGTTTTTTCTTTTTCCTTCTCTTCTCTCTTTTTTCTTCTTTTTTTTTTCTACAGCGTGCAGTGTTAAGCATGAGTTCTATCCTTGGAGCATAGCTGAGAAACCATGTTTAGCTTCAAGATATGAATCTTTAGAGATGACGTTTTGAGAAGTTTCTGTGAGGAGAAAACCCTGTAAATTGAGCCTGATAATCTGGTTTATACTTTACCAAATAGCCTTAAACTATATTTGGAAGCAAAAACCAAGACGAATGTATATCCTTCAAAAAATGCAAAAAAAAAAAAAAAAAATCCCTTAAATATTCTTCTATAAATGAAAGCATTTTATTTCCCCTTCCTGATGTTTTCAAGGCATTTTTTATTAAGGAAGGAGCTGAATCCTGGGTAGTGTACAATATTGATTCTACTTCCTATATTCGTTTTACTATTTAAAATACAAACGTATTTGCAGACATTGGCATCTTTAGACTTGAAAAGTGTTATCTTATTTAAAGTGGAGCTGCTAATTAGAAATATCCACATGAAACTAAAGCCAGTGTCTTTCCTCAATTTCGGAAGTTTGAAATAGACCAACACACATACAAACACCCCTATATATATATATTTATACACACATATATATTTTTATTTATTTATTTATTTATTTATAGCAGCTGATGTATTTTATCTAATTTCCCTGTATACTTCGAGGAGAAATCACACTTTCTTGCTTGCAAATCCCACCTGCAGTGGCAGATTATACAATTAAAACAAGTTGTGCTTGATCCTGACAGTGTTCAGACTTTGTAAAGACGAATTTTAAAGAAAAACAGATTACAGCTGATAAGCTTAAATCCCAGTTTATGTTACAATGCTGACTTAGAGCAGTCCACAAAAATCTTTAATTTTAGCATTATATTTTGAGAGATTTGTGATATTTTATAATTTGTTGGATGTTCTCAGGCTAAAGTAGGCTTGCAGGAATGACACCAACTCTTTATTTTAAATTTCCCATGTCATAATTTAAAAACGTTCAGTTGGATAGCTATGATTCTTGTTTGTTTCACCTTTGCTCACAAAAAAAAATAATTAAAAGAAAACTAGATGCCTACTGAAAAATCTGATAATATGTTATCTGTGCATGTTACATTTTGAAGTGCAATATATTAAATTCTTGTGCAGGTAACATTCTATCATTAAAGGCAAATAACTTACTTATAGAAATCTACATACTGTACATCTGCTTAGCTTAGAAAAACAACATTATGTTTATCATACTTGTGTTGCAAATAAATCAAAGTCAGATCACTTCAGTTCCTGACATAAGAAACACAGCCCATGGTTTCTTAGTAAACACATAGACAGATCAATTGTAACCTGACCCACATCATAAAAATAAAATTCAAGTGCAAAACCAATACAGGCGGAGCGGAAATAAAGATAGAAAGTGGAATATTTTATTTAGAGATTTCATGCTGTACATTTACAAAGAGCAGCTGGATATAACAAAATATTCCTTCTTTAATCAAATGCTAATTGGACTAACATTTATTTTAAAAGATGAGAATTCTAGAAAGCCTCTGTTCATTTCTTCATTGCCTGTAGAACACAAGTATAGTAAACAGAATTATGAAAATTTCAATAAAGAAAAAGACCTGAATGGTAAAATCTTTGATATTTGCCATACTTATTTTTGCTTTGTATATTTTTTTGCTTTGATTTGAAAATTATTGTAAATTGGTGAAGCATGTTATGAAGTATTTTATTATTTCTTGTTGACTGGATCAGAACGGACTTTGCCAGGGTGTAGTGACCAATATTGTTGTGCAGTTTAATACCAAAAAATTACGTTTTGTTTCATGCTTAAATCTTGTCACTTGCTAGATCTAAGATGGGTCAGGAGGGAATTAAAGCATGCATAGGAAGGGGTGTAGATTTCAAATACCTAAAACATTTCACACAGTGCAAATTCTTCGTTTTAGCATAAGCCAATGTCCTGCTGTATCAGTAAAGTACTGCTCGGGTTTTTACTTCCTTAGCACTGCTAATGCTCGAAAGTGAGGGAATCTTTGGAAAAGGACCGAATTTATGATGAAGTGATCCGAAGCCCTAAGCGACGTGCTGGGGTCCTGCGCTTGCAGGGCTCCTCCGCTCTGTGGGACACTGATGGCACGTGGGACCCCGGTGGCACGCGGGACCCCATCCCGGCCAGCTGCAGCACGAATACGCTGGAGTCCAACCCGTCGAGTGCTGGTTCCTGCAGGCTAGTTTGGGGCTGAATTGGTCCGTTAGCACCAGCCAGGTGTGCTCAGTGTGTGTTGAAAAGCCATGAAACCTTGCAATGCTGGCGCCCGAGTCCCGCGCTGAGGGCTTCGATGCGAAGAGGCGTCCGCGCTGCGTGCACTTCCCAGAGCGCAGGACAGTGGAGCAGCATTGCTGGCAAACATCGGCCAACCCTGCGGCGCTGGGCAAGTGCTTCCCGCTGTACAGCAGGTCAACACTCACATTCATACAGTGCCTTTCATCCAGAAGGATCTCAAAGCACTTTATTAGCTGGCGTGCAAAACCGAGGCCCAGCGCAGGCTCACGTGGGGAAGCGGTCACCATGGGCAGCCCGCGCGGCAGCAATGCTTAGTGTTGCCTCTCCAGGAGCTAGATGAGGAAAGAAAAGGGTCCAGATGATGTTTGCAGAACAAGCTTAGCCCCTGGGTGCCTGCGAGGTTGGCTGTGGCGAAGGAGCATCTCGGGGAGCGCAGTGTGGGGAGAGACAGGAGACCCCTTGTCGGGGCTCTGGGCACCTGGAGCTGGAGGCCTCTCCATCAGAGACCTCGGCAAGTGTCCTCCTTGCGAGCTCTTCCCTGACTTCCCCCATGCCCTCTCCTCGGCCCCTCCATGCACTGCGGGCTACGGTGGGGGGCACGGCAGAGTGCAGCCAGGGCAGAGGGATTGTGCTGTGGTTCAAGCAATCGGTCTCTGTTGGGAAGAGTTGTTGGAAAGAGCAATGGGAAGCTTCTCCCAGCACTGGCAGGAGGGTGGCAAGTTAAAGGCAATCACTTTGTACTGTACATAATAGAAGGAGAACATATACATATATACCTATCTATTTGTCAATGTGATGGTTCCCAGAGAGTTGGACCCAGGAACCACAGCCACCCTTCAACAGACCGTGACGCTTGTCCGCAGCACAGCCCCAGCACGGGCAAGTAGGTCGGGTGACCTGTTGGGTGCAGTGTCCTGGCCCAGCAGCCGCTATTTGTGTCCACCTCCAGGACCAGTATTTTGGGAGCAGCTGTTTTGTGGCACACCCACAGGCTCCCAGCAAGAATTAAGCCCTCTGTCTACACAGAAATTGCCTGACTTATCTCTGAAATGCAGTCACCTCCATGGTGTAATGCTGCAGCTGTTTAACTGCATAATAGGCTGTTCAGGACAGCAACTGTAAAACTGAAATTGAAATGGAAACTTGCCCAAAAGAGAATTTGGACAGAATATTTTGGCTGATTCAGCTCCTCTTAACGAAATAAAATTCTAATGGCTGCAAGAGGCCATGCACTCATTATATCTAAAAAGCATCTGCCCGAACCCTTCTTATTAACTGTGCATTGCATTTCATAAATGATGATCAGAGGTAGAGGCTGCATGTTCACAGTTCCACCTTCCCACATAAGGCTGTTTCTCCCATTACCAATCACTGCTACAACAGAGCTGGGCTTTTGAAGTCAGACTCTTAGGTAATGTAGATCAGTATGTCTGCACAGACGTTAACTGAGCAAACACAGTTTTCAGCAGCTGGCTATTTCAGTCTCCCTTTCATTAGGGCCAAGTAGCTACTTTTTTCATTGGTTTTGTTGGAGAGGATTCTTTACTTCTTTAATTAAAAAAACACAATGTTTTCACTAAGGGCGAAATTAGCGGGAGGTTTATTTGAAGACATGGTTACTATTACCAATACAGCCATTCGTGATAATTTTTCATCTCCTTCCCTTATTCTTCTTTCATTCAATGTATCAGCATTCCCCTTCTTAAAGCTGAACTGTCATAAAAAATTCACAGTTGTAAGATGAATTACTGTAGCGCTTTGGGCTAAGATCTGCTCTCGGTTATATTAAATCAGCCCTGAGAAACTTCACTGAAGTCAGAGCAAAATGTCAGATGTGGACCAGTATAATTCAGATCAATGTCTGACTCAGCAAGTCCTGTTGTAGTAGAAAGGACTTATTGTGACAATTAGCTAGCACATAATTATTTTGCAGGATATATTGCCTCCTTTCAAGTAGGTCAAACAGAGTGGTTTTTGGTAGGTTCAAGTCTCTGACTACAGTCTTCACAAAGAATTATTAGCTTTATTTATAATTACCTTTGGAAGCCACATGCTCATATCCATGCTTGATTTACATTTTGGAGGTTTAATGGTATGGCCATCTCATTTTAAAAGGGCTCCGCATGTATGTTTTCTTTAGTCCACTTAATTTTCTGAGTTAACAAATTAACC